ATGAATGGCGTGTAAATAGAAAAGACTGTATTTAAGAGTGAGTGAGAATGTGAATGAGTTTTTATTTAGGAACAGATTGCTGAAATGATCTAGCTGTTTATAGCCCCTGGACGTATAAAACCGAGGTCTGACCCCTTACTACCCTGATAGGGTGATTCTCGAGGTCTTCTCCCGGTGATTTATTGTAAATTAAAACAGTTGGAATTGCCGGTAGACTGCGAGAAGTTATAGGTTCAACTCTGTACTGGAATGAATGTATGCACGTGCATGTGCAGATCTAAAATTATGCATGTATCGCTCATCCCTATATCCTAGGCCATCTAGATAAACCGGAATAAGTGTCGTCCTCGTTTAATACAAGATACTATTTCAGAATCTTCGTGCTATTTGAACTTTTTTTTCTGGAAGATATGCCTACAAGTATTCTATTTTCTTTTTGCACCCTCCGGCCGGTTTTCCAATTTTCATACGTTTACTATTGTCTTTTATTTTACATTTATAATTGAAGGAAGTGGAAATCGTTCGAAAAAATCGAAAGGCGTCCAATTATTATCAAAAACACGCGAGTGTTGATGGTCCCAGTAAGGCGGATACAGATTTAAAAGATTCCGTGAATAAGATGTTACATTGAAACAATATTCTACGCACTTCCATGAAATTCGCTCCTAAACTTCGATTAATCGGTTCGGATTATAAATTAATCAGAAAATAAAGTAATACTCGCCTGTTTATACATGGTGTTCGGCTACTCGCGTTACAAACTTTGCCAGTAGATTCTACATTCAAAAAGGAACCAAAAAGTCCTAATTAACTATGGTCCGAATCTCAACAGTTTCGGAGTTACTTCACTTTTTCATTTTTTAAGATTTCACGACCTTGTTTGAAATAAACAGAGATAACTCCAAAACTAAAAGGTTTTGAACAAATCTGTTGTTGATACCATTGAAAACTACATTAAATTTCAAGTAAGTTATCAATATTAAACTTGTAAACCTTCGTGAAATAAGAGTTTTTTTTTTTGTTTTTTTTTTTGCCTTATGATCTTTGCATATTAGCCATGACGAATTCTGATATATGTTGTTCAAATTGGGGGTTATCGGGAAAAAAAGGGCCAGAGGTGACGGTGGGAATTGAACCCACGACCGCGGCGTGAGAGTCTCTCATGCTAACGAATTTAATTATTTTTTCAAAGATGAAGAAATTGATGAAGGAAAAGAAAAAACCGTGGTTGAAGGATTGGTAAAGTGGAAAAATTAGTAATAATAAAAAAAAACTTAAGGAAATTTTGAATAAATTTATTAAACGTTTTTTTAATTTTGATTCGAAATGCTCTCCATCGTCAATGTATATAATATGTATGTACAGCTGCCCCTGCTACTAATTTGAGAAAGTGCTATTAGTACTGGCAGGAAAAACATCTCAATAATGACTTGCTAAATAATTCTGCTGTTCTTTTATTATACACGATTTCCCGTCATCAAATCTGCATATGTATACTCATTATATACACCATCTACCGATGTTTTTTTTCACTTCGGTAATTTGAGATCTAATAAAGACATCATATTTTTAATGGAAAGTCCCGTTTATACTGATCGGTGAAAATATCTAGATTATATTAAATTCAATGATTAATCCTTTCTGGGACGTGTTTGTGAACTTGTTTGCTGAACTTTTGGTCATATAATTATACAAATTACAAATTGTTTTTAACGGCATAAAGTCAAGGACAAACCACTACATTAGTGCACAGGAGGACACGTGTTATGTGAAGCCGGCCAATGCTGACAGTCAGTCTGTTATCGGGTTAAGCGCGAGGAGGTTGTTTGAGGGAATGTGGAAGGTTCTTAAGATAGGAAGTAGTGGAGATGGCTTGATAAATGGTTGAAAGATTGGAATGAAATTTGAGGAAACGAGAACGGATGAATTCTTCGACGAAAAGAATGTTACATGAGGTTGGAGTGTCAGAAAGGAGTTTGGAAAAGTCTTCTTAGGACCTTAGATTGGAATGTTTGGATGTTAGATGGCTTGATGATACACCAAAGCTCCGCTCCGTATGTCCAAAAATAATATACAGAGCTAGTTTGTTGTTTCATTTCGGATTTCGGTGCTGTAATTTTTCATAGATATCCAAATTTGGGTGCATTTGTACGAGTACGGTTTCATCTTCCACGTTTTACATCAATGAGCTCAAACGATGCTCCTGTATATTGGAGGCGGCTTAGGAGATAAAATTGCAGTATCGTCTGCGTATGTTGTAAGTATGGTGTCAGATCAAGAATAAACGCGGTTTGTCGTTCGATTTCATTCCGGTCCGCCGTTTTTCGCTTTGCATTTAATATTGAACAATTTCGGCAATTTGCTATATCAAATCGGGATACCGCTGCATGGGCAATAAATTTGTAAACAGTCTCCCTTTATAGGTCTGGTCCGCCTATGTTACTTTGCATTTAAGCCGTAGGAATCGTTGTGATACATTATTTTCGTTGTCTGAAATTTTCTAAACTTGTAAATTTAGAATTTTTTTGTAATTCTAAATTTGTTTTCTAAAATGTGTCTGAAATAATTTTGTATCGTAATATTTTGTGTTTATCGATCTGAAATTGTATAAATCAATAATTGTAAATAGTTTTTCTTCTTTGATCGTACTGGTCCGCCAGTTCTCGCCTTTATTATTTGTTGTTTTACTTTTAAATTGATATATGAAAAGAGGAACCAGCTGGCCGAAAAAAATCGAATTTTTTCCGCTATATACTATAAAATCATAATTACTGCAAATATTTGGTCATAATATAAAATTATAAATACATAATAAAACCGGCTCACCTGTTCTTGCTTTCCATTTTGTCCAAAAGAATTGTAATACGTATATTTTGTTTGTGAATCTAAATTGTTAGAGATTGTAAACAGTTTTTCTTCTTTGGTCATGTTGGTCCGCCGTTTAAAAGCCAACCATAGGAATCATTGTGATATATGTTGGTTGGCCTGCAATTTTGTGGAAATATAATGATTTTATGTTTGATAATTCCACGTCTGAAGTCAGCCTGGGATTTAGAGAACAATAGTAAACAGTTTGTCTTTCTTTATCATGCTGGTCCGTCTGTTCTCGCTTGGCGTTTAAACCTTAGTAATCGTTTTATTTTAAGTTATTTGGACTGCCATGTCCGAAAATTTAATAATTGTTTCTTATCCATTTTACGTCTCAAGTCGGCTGCGAATTTATAGACAAATGGTGAATAGTTTGTCTTTTTTGATCTTGTTGGTCCGCCTGTTCTCGCTTAGCATTTAAGCCGTAGGAAACGTTGTGATACATTATTTTCGTTGTCTGAAATTTTAGAAAATAAAATAACATTGTTTCTTGTACATTTCACGTCTCAAGTCGGCTGGGAATTTATAGAAAAATGATGAATAGTTTGTCTTTTTTGATCTTGTTGGTCCGTCTGTTCTCGCTTTGCGTTTAACCCATAGGGCTACTTCGTTGTGATAAATTCTATTCGTAGGCCTACAATTTTGGGAAATAAAAAGATCTAAGAACTGTATCCTGTTCACTGCATGCCAAAGGTAATTCGCGTATTTATAGAACAATAGTGAACCGTTTGTCTTTCTTGATCATGCCGGTCCGGATGTTCTCGCTTTGGGTTTAAGCAATAGAAATCGTTATATTATTCGTTAGCCTGCAATTTTGGAAAATTTAATCATGTTTCTTGTTCACCTCACGTCTCAAATCAGTCTGCTAATGTAAAACAATAGTAAACAGTTTGCCTTTCTTAATCATGCTGGTCCGTCTTTTCTCGCTTTGAATTTAACCCTTAAGACTACGTTGTAATATTTTATGTTCGTTGAGTATCCAACTTACAAATAACAAGTCTTGTACCATAATAATACGTTTTAATTGGTAAGAGATAAATGTCAATATGATTTTTTAATTTAAATAATTAAATAGCTGACGGATTCTTATTATCTTTTTGTCAACCTACTGCAAACAATTAGTCTTTAATAATATTTGTATGTGTGAAAATTATGATCGTCCTACACAAGCACTGTCCAAAATATTCTGAAAAATAATTATACTTGAAGTCGATCTCGCAACAGGGGAAAACCTGATATTTCCTCGTTATCTTGTTTCACTTATCATGTAGATATGCCAAACGTTTGGAGTAATGCAAATATTTAGATCCGTTTAAGCGATTTTGAATTTGATTTTTAGTGTTTTTGTTTTCTTTTTGTTCAACCTGTTTGTAAATTGTAAGGAGTATCTTAAGGTAGCCTTTAGACAGCTCTTGGCATTTCGTACAAAGGGAACACCGCCCTACCTAGTAATTATCTCACCCTTTACTATAAAGTTCACTTAAATGAGCTTGAAAGTACTTTCGTGAGAAAACGAGCCTTAGTTGTGACTGCTTCATGGTTGGACTTAGCCTGGTTAAAAATGTAAGCCGCTTCAAGTTCAGCCCATTCGAATTTAGACGAAAACGAAGATTAATGTACTTTTACATTACGTCTTTTCTTTTTTCACGAACAATTAATAATAATAATTAATTAGCATTAATTCAACAACTGACCTGAATTTGAAACTCAACTTTTTATGTTTTGACTAATTTAACTATTTTAAATATTTTAAACATGTTAGGTTGAAGTTTGGCAACTTATCTCTTGACATTCTTAGAGATATTGGGTTGTCCGGAAAATAATGCAGGATTTTGGTATTAAACAAAAAAAAAGAAACTAGTTACTTTAAAGCAATGTTCTTTAATCAAAATAATTTCCCANCATACAAATGAGTAATCCTGTAAACGTAAACAGAATATTTTATATAGATTTTTTTTAATGAAAACTTAAAATCCTGCATTATTTTCCGGACAACCCAATAATTTACATGATTGAATTAAATCTATTAGAATTGGGAATGAAAATAATGTCATTCCTGAAGGTTTAAGTTATCAGTCTTGTATGTCGTCAACCGTATAAAATGTCATCCATTTTTTCATTTCTTTTCACAGGTCTGACAGCAGCAAGGCGTCCAAAGTCCGAGTGACCTTTTTCGAGTGCGAAAAACCGCAAGTGGTGAGCTCCCCCGAGCCTGGAGAACTGTTAGACGATTTGGATGTGCCCGTAACCATGTCCGCTCCAATTACAGACATACATGCCTACCAAAGGCAAGCGAGGTGAGAAAACTTTGAATGATTCAGAAGATACAAATTGAAAAAAATGATCATCTGGGGGAAAATATTGTCTCACTCAAAACAGAAAACCCTCTGATCATTAAATCAGTCATTTTGCCACAATAAACCTGTCTTATTAATAGTAATTATGTTATAACAATTTTATAGTTCATTCTGTTGAAGTTGAACCTTTTAAAAATAATAACAATATCGTACTTAAACATAAAAATAAATCAAACTCAATAAGATGGAGCAAAGCTTCATTCGGGAATGGGGTTACATAAACATAATGTATATGTTTGTATGCATATGTTATTAGGAAAGAATAACATATTTTCACGAAGACTGCATAAAAAAATGCATAAACATATACAGTTACAATTATAAATGTTTAAAACGAAAACATCTCTGAGAGGTTTCTAAGTGTTATGTTGGGTCCGCCAACTCTCACAATTTCAGAAATTAGCAGGACGTTTGCAAATATTAAGCTAAAAACTGAACAAAACTGAAAATTAAAACTTTGTTAATAATTTACAAATGAAAAACAAAGAAGATGGGAGTCGAGTCAGTTTACCATTGCTATTTTTCTTGTGTAGAACAAAAATTAATTACAGCCCATTTATATTTAGTGATCTAATTGGCCAAATTATTTATTTCAATTAATTATTATTTTTATGTAAGGTCTTGTTGAGATGAAAAAGATGCCGTCTCGAGCGGGATTCGAACCCACGACCTTCGGTTCAATACGCCGATGCTCTAACCACTTTCACGATAGCTCAAGTGGTTAGGGCAGCGGCGAATGAGCCGGCACTCTCAACACGCCACACAAGAATGGCACATTTACGGAGAAAACAAACACTTTGAACCCTGAAGATGATCTGAATAAAGATCGAAACGTTGGCGCGATTAAGAAAATGTTTTTCTAAAACCTACGTCACATCAGACCGCAACTCACGATTTCTGAATGATCATAGACACATAAATTCAAGAAATAAATAAGTCAATGAGAATATTCAAGTATATGCTCTACACAACAAATCAACCAATAGACAAAGATTTACACATTATTTATCACAGCAATTTGTTAAATCGGGTTTATTGGCAGATACACATTACCTTTTAATACATATTCATTATTTTTCAAACAATATATGCTTAAATCTTTTATGCTTAAACTTATGGTATTTTGAGTCCTATTATAAATAAATATATTTTTATATGTACAAATTGGCTATTTATGCATGAATTAAAAAATTTACAATTGCTTTAAAGATGTGTGTTGTTAAATTAGGTATGTTTAGGGTCACATTTTGGAAATCCTCCAATAATTCTTAAAGCTTGGACTACCTGGAGCTTAGCCAAATTTGATTTACACATTTTTCCCCAAATGGTATCACCGTAATTAATGGGCATATGCTTAGTTCATAAATTAATTTTTCTTTTTACTGTCCAAACGTGAGCGCGCTTGTTAAAGACCGAGTAAAGGATTTTTCTGATGGTCCAAGCTTTTGAGCATTTATAATTAAAATTAAATCTGGACTCCAAATTTATTCCGAGGTGTTTAACATTCTTAGCCAATGTTATTGGCGAATTATTTATTTTGACATGATTGATAATGTGTGGTCTGCTTCGAATAAACAGTATCGCCTCAGTCTTGCCCCCATTAAGTCTGATTCTCCATTTTTCAAAATATTTAAAACATATTTACAGTTATTGATAATTATCTTCAAATAGAATCAACCCTATAGAAGGCTCTTAAAAAGGTCATATCATCAGCAAAGTGAGCCATTTAGTTTTTAGCTTGCTTTTTATAAAGTTATTAAATAAAGTTGGTTCAATAACTGACCCTTGGGGACCCCAGTTTTAATTATAATTCATATAAATAAGAATTATATTTCTTAAAGGTGAAGTTACGCCATCAGACTGTACAAAGAATTTCCTGTTAATTAGGTAATTACTGTTAAATGTGTTAAACTGAGAGAATCGTATCGATTTCAAATGAACAACCAATTTTCCTATCTTTATACGAATCGGATACCTCGTCAAAGGACGGATTTTAATATAATAAAATGAGCTCATCATGCGGTCAACGAGAACAGTGTTTTCAAAGGGAAAACCTTTACCGCAGAATTGAAATTCGATATCGGATGTACACTTGGCTTCATTGGGCTTTTTATGCCCCATCCCCCTTTTCCACCAGATGTCTTTCCGATGCTTTACGGTGAATAGAATTTTTACAACCGGCCAACGCTTGACATTTCAATACGTGGCCCAGTTGCTCGCGTCCTACAGTTTACGACTTCATAAGTCACACTGACCTTTTGGGATCTTTTACAACCTAAAGAAAACAAAATTGAAATGCGGGAAAAACAAACAAGTAGCTGCAACAAAGTCCTTCTAGACAACAATTAAACCTAAAATCACTCACTTCCCTCGATTTCACGTCCTGCAGTGTGTTTCATTTTAAACTTACAATATAAACAATAAAAAATTTTATAATGATATATAAAAATTTTATGTATCAATATAACAATGCCTTACAAACAATGCCTCACAACCTACAGAGCTGCATTTCTATTTTTAAAAATGTGCCATTGACCGTATAAAATAGTGGGATAAAACGGTGTAAGGATATAAGCAGGGCGAGGAACGAAATGTCTGTAGGAAAGTGATTTTTTTATATTAAAGAAACATCTCACAAAATAGATTTTCAACATTTGTAATGATATTTGACCAAATCTATTTTTCAAAAAAACCAATCCAAAATACATTCAGTATGTACCAGAAACTAGGTATGTAGTATATATTTAATAATATAGAAAAACTTTAAATTGAAACCAAATTACCACGAATTATAATTTTGAATCCATTGATTCAATTTAAAAAAATAGTTATTGACAGTTAAAAAAAAAATATAATGGTGTTACATGTTATCTAGGTCTAAACAGGGCGGGTCCGTGATCAAAAGCGTCTGTGTTCCATGAATATGTTTTCACAATTTTTAATGAAGAAGAATAAAAAGTAAACCTTAACCACAAATAAGTTAACCACAAATAAATCTTCAACCTGTTGTAAAATTTCTGTAAAAGTTCTTCGAATAATCTTTAAAGAAAATGATAGTATCATCGTCATCAAGCATAGAGCTTGCAAAGAAAGGATAAAGGATAATACCGTGCGTCTCAAAGTGGGACACCTTGTATATAATTTTTGTCAATTAAAAAAATTTCTACTTCGTGTTCACATATCGTCTGCACTTCCAAGAGAATTGTCTGTACTTGAGTAACTTTCGCCAATTTGACAGTATACGTGAATGAAAGTTAGATGCTGGTAACTAAAGAGAAGGAAAAGAAAAAATCAAATTGATTGATTAATGATAAGTCATAAAATTAATTCACCCAATAATACAAAATTAAATCAGATCATTATTAAATTTATTTTTTTTAAATCAACCAAGGGAAAATCTAAATTTACTAGCTACGTTGGTTACTTCCTGTTTATATCCCGTATCAATTTTATTATTTTAATTAAAACAAAAAGCACGGGGATTCCACGTGTTGGCTGAACAATTTGTACTCATAGGATGAAAAAGAATTACATGATCCATGATAATGAGTGACAGGCACGTAAAGCGCCATGTTACACTTGCCCTGGGGGGTCAGTGACTTCTGTGACCGACATATCACAACTCCTGTTCCCGTCTGGCTCATCAAATGTAATAATTCAGAACGGTACGTGACTTCAACATTGATCCGATTGAAGCAATTTGCCTGAAAAAGTAGATAATTTCAAGATAGAATTGGTCGTTTCTTCTTGTTAAGAGTCGTAGAATAGAAGATGGTGTACATAACGAATAAAAGAAATACCTTCGTGCATCCAGTTGACTTGTATTCTAGAGACTTGACGATCTGTAAACACTTTTTTTATTTTAATTTTAATTTATCAATAACAAATTCATATATGTAAAATAATACAGGTGGGCGAATTCATCTTGTCCATATCATCCGAGCCTGTCACTCCACCTTCAACGGTAGCCTGATCAAAATTCGCAACGCTTTTAACTAAGAGAAAAATAAAGAAAGAAAAAATATTAATATCAAAACAGAATGTTACTTAAATGACATGGTCTGATGATAGTGAACCGTTCTTGTAAAATTAATTTAATTAATGTTAATCAAACTATTAAAGTAAGTCACTACCACCACTGCTAAGCAAGCGATATAACCCCACAGTCTTAATTTTCCTGCAGAATTGTTGTTTTTGTGATCATGAATACATTGTGATGCACATATTATTTATGATAGTTTATAATTTTTATAATTATAACTCTCTCGGTCTTTCAAATTCTCATTAACTCTTTTCGTATTTGTCTCTATCTATTTACAACCCATCTCAAGCTCATCTCTCTCTCACTCTTTCTCTCCCTCCCTCTCTCCCTCTCCCTTACTCTCTCTCACTCACTTGCTCTCTTTTTTCAATCTTCTCTCTCTCTCTCTCTCTCTCTCTCTCTCTCTCTCTCTCTCTCTCTCTCTCTCTTTCTCACTCACTCTCTCTCTTTTCTATCTCCCCTCCCTCTCTCCCTTCCTCTCTCTCTCACGGACTCGCTCTCTTTTTCAATCTTCTCTCCCTCCCCCTCCCTTCCTTTCACCCTTCCACCATCTCTCCCTTTCTCTCACTCACTCTCTCTTTTCTATCTCCTCTCTCTCTCTCTCTCCCTCTCTCACTTTCTCTCTTTCTTTCTTTCTTTCTTTCTTTCTTTCTTTCTTTCTTTCTTTCTTTCTCTCTAACACATAAAAAAATCTAATACAATTTATCCAACAGCCCAACCTTCCTCTACATTTATCAGCGCTGATGGTCCCCAAGAAAGAATACGGGCACCATTCCCAAATACCTTCTACAGTGCTGATACCACCTCTGTATCCCTGTCTTCCGAAACGCCTCCATCCAGATACCATGGCATCTTCTTGAAATTGAAGGTTGATGTAAACAAATCCTACTATAGCCTT